CTCTCACTCCTTCTCCCCTCCCCTACCCCCCACCTCTTCCCTTGACCATCCCCCCACTCCTCCCCCCCCTAGCTACCCTTCTACCCCCCACTAATTACCTACATACCCCCCCCCTCCCCATTATTCTGGAATATCACCCTTACTCGGGCTTCAACCCTTTCTCCCCCCCCCTCCCCCATCCCTCCTCCCCACTTCCTTTTTTCTTTTCTCTTCCTTTGAACCAAAAGAATACGAGTAAATCATGAGATGTGTTTTTTTTCCTCTCTCTCTATCTATCTCTTTCCCTCGTTCTTGTTCTTTCCTGCTCTTGTTCTCTCTCTTTCTCGTTCTTTCTCTCTCTATCTATCTATTTATTTCCTCTTCTCTCTCTCTCTCTCTCTCTCTCTCTCTCTCTCTCTCTCTCTCTCTCTCTCTCTCTCTCTCTCTCTCTCTCTCTCTCTCTCTCTCGTTCTTGTTCCCTTTATCTGTTTATCTATCTATCTATCTCCTCTTCTACTCTCTCTCTCTCTCTCTCTCTCTCTCTCTCTCTCTCTATCTCTATCTCTATCTCTCTCTCTCTCTCTCTCTCTCTCTCTCTCTCTCTCGCTCTCGCTCTCTCTCTCTCTCTCTCTCTCTCTCTCTCTCTCTCTCTCTCTCTCTCTCTCTCTCTCTCTTTCTCTCGCTCTGTCGCTCTCTCTCTCTCTCTCTCTCTCTCTCTCTATCTCTATCTCTATCTCTCTCTCTCTCTCTCTCTCTCTCTCTCTCTCTCTCGCTCTCGCTCTCTCTCTCTCTCTCTCTCTCTCTCTCTCTCTCTCTCTCTCTCTCTCTTTCTCTCGCTCTGTCGCTCTCTCTCTCTCTCACTCTCTCTCTCTCTCTCTCTCTCTCTCTCTCTCTCTCTCTCTCTCTCTCTCTCTCTCTCTCTCTCTCTCTCTCTCTTTCTCTCGCTCTGTCGCTCTCTCTCTCTCTCTCTCTCTCTCTCTCTCTCTCTCTCTCTCTCTCTCTCTCTCTCTCTCTCTCTCTCTCTCTCTCTCTCTCTCTCTCTCTTCCTCCCGCATCAAGGCCAGGTTACGTATAGGCCTACAGAAAATCAGCTATTGTGTTCATGATTAGCATTCGACTGCGATGGAGGCCTACGTTATTATTGTTTTTGTTGTCGTTGTTTTTGCTGCTTATAGTCTTGATCTTTTTGTTGTTGTTTTTGCCGTTTTTTTGTTGTTGTTTTTTGTTTTTGTTGTTGATCTTGTTTTTGTTGTTGTTTTTACGACTCTTTGATGGTTATATATGATGAGGGAAGGGGAAAGGGGGGGGGGGAGAAAGGCAGAGAATAAACACCAAGACCCGATAACGATAAATAAAGAATAAAGAAAGAAAAATAAAGAAATAGATAAATAGATGAAATAAAATGAAAAAAGGAAGCGAAGAGAACGTCGATCAAAGACGGAGGAGGATGGGCGGGAGTAAGGGCAATGCTCGATTCCCTGTAAACAGTGACGTGTCAGAATCTTTTTCGGGTGCAGACGAACGCATCCTATTCTTATATATATTTTTTTTTTCATATAATTTCCTCTGGGAGTTCAACTGGTCTGTGGGAAAAAAAATAAAAATATAAAAAAAATCACACAAAAGTAGATGTAGATAGACATGATTTGATTCGATATGATTAGACATTGTTCGATATAATTTTATATAACTAGATACAGATAGATATAAATAGATATAATTCGATATACTTTCGCATAACTAGATGTTTATAGATATAATTCTATATAATTTGATATGATCAAATATACTTTGACGTAGATAAATATTATATAATTATATACAGTAGATATGATTACATAGGAAAGACGATTGATTAAAATGATAAAATGGTAAATGATAAAAGAGAATAAAAAAGAGAGGAAAGAAGGCATGAATGGGTGATAAAAGAAAATGATCTGATAATAAAAATAACTTGTATGATATAAATGAGGCAATAAGGAGATAAAATAATGAAATGAAATGATTTAGAGATGAGATTCGTATAAAAAGATAATGTGATTATATTATAAAATATATAGTACATTCCTTATATTATATAGGGTGACAGACGAACTCAAAATAGCCTTACTATCAATTCTTTTGATAATTAAAACAAATCTATGTACATATCTCTAAGAGCAAAAAATAAACCATAGATAAGGTAAAGATAGGAAAAATATTAAAGATAAGATAGTCTATTATTACATGATGTAGAACAAACTATGAAAAAAACAATGACATACTTTGTATTATTAATATCACAAAATCTCTGTAGATAACATACACTCCTATGAATTCCATTATTACACAAATCCTGAAAAAAAACACGCTTTGTACACGCAAAGACAACACAAAGAAGAAGAAGAGAGAGAGAAAGACTAAATAAATGAAAAAGATATAAACTATTTTGTTCTTACATAACATCATCCAAAATTTGTTATTCATGTCCCGTGTAAAAAGGATATATAACAGGTACAGGAGTATATATAGACCTGGTGATCAGTAACCTTCAAGTGTACTGGGGGACTGTGTGATTTCAACCTTGGAAGGAGGGAGAGGGAAGGAGAGAGAAAGGGAGAGGGAGGGAAGGAGAGAGAAAGGGAGAGGGAGGGAAGGAGAGAGAAAGGGAGAGGGAGAGGGGGAGGGAGGAGGAAAGGAGAGAGAAAGGGAGAGGGAGGGAAGGAGAGAGAAAGGGAAAGGGAGGGAAGGAGAGAGAAAGGGAGAGGGAGGGAGGGAGTGTGAGAAAGATGAATAGATAGATAAAATATAAAAACAAAAACAAATAGAGGGATAGAAGACAGATTAGCAGAAAGAGTAGAGAATTAACTGATAAATAATATATATATATATATATATATATATATATATATATATATATATATATATATATATATATATATATTATCAGATATCTTTAATTGAAAACATGGGACTGAATTTCTAACTGAAATACTGAAAGAATGCCGTCATTTCGCCAATGAATGGATTAGTTGAATAGATAGAAAGATAAACAGATAAAAGATGGAATGAATGGACTGACGAATGAATGGTTATATCTACTTCATTCATTCATCCATTGATAGATGATTGAATGGACAAAATATCGATAAATACGAAAATATATTGAATGGAAGATGATTAAGAAAGTAATGCAAATTGACAAAATGTATTAGATTAATAAATGAGTTAATTTGCATATAATTTAAACGATGATGATTATCAAGATTATTAATTGCCATTTATCGTTCGTAATGTTATTTGTAAAGCAAAGAGACCTATGAACTATGTTACCGAAAATATTTGAAAATGGCAATAGTGACTTTATCAAACATTACACGAAATAAATCATTGTTAAAACGTATTTCTTATTATCATTTACGTTCAAGTTTATTGCTGTTTCTTTGCAATTGATAAGATTTGCAACAAGAAAAACAACCAAACTGACAAATCTCGCTGTTTATTTTTTAAAGCATTAAACTGGTTCTGAAGTTAATAAAAAAAATACTGTGGTTTGTCAAGTTGCATTGCAGGCGCGTGGGGTTTGCATGTTGCAGTGTTGGTCTGTTGTTGTTGAATATGTTTATTAAGAAATATATATTATATCAATTTATCTATTATTTCGTTTGTTCTCTTTCTTTTTTTTTTGCTTTTTTGTTTGTGAAATCATAGGTGAGCATGATTTGCTATACGCACAGTCATACATACATGCAAAAATGCGTACACGAATACAAATGTCGTTGAATGGAAAGGAAATTCAAAGAATGAAATAGAAAATTCAGTTTATTAAATGTATAAGCATCACTTCCTAATTCCCCTCCTTCCCTTCTCTCTTCTCTTCCCCGTGCCCCCCCCCCCCCCCCCCCGCAAACACACTTCCGGTAACGACTTGCGTTGAAGTCACACTTTGGGCATCAAGTTACACCTCGAACCACGCATGCAGCTGTCAGCGCCTGTCTCTCTCTCTCTCTCTCTCTCTCTCTCTCTCTCTCTCTCTCTCTCTCTCTCTCTCTCTCTCTCTCTCTCTCTCTCTCTCTCTCTTTCTCGCTCTCTCTCTCTCTCTCTCTCTCTCTCTCTCTCTCTCTCTCTCTCTCTCTCTCTCTCTCTCTCTCTCTCTCTCTCTTTCTCTCTCTCTCTCTGTGCTGTGTGGTGCAGCGGTAGCGATCTCGTTTAGCAATCTAGCTGACCTGTGTTCAAATCCCTCGCCGCCAGTGGATGGCAACCCCGGCCATTCCTTGCACACAGCGGATAACTTAGAAGCAAAATGAAACAGACAGTATGTCACACCAAGAATATCCATTGTAAGAAATGGAATTAAACTAAACCTCTCTCTCTCTCTCTCTCTCTCTCTCTCTCTCTCTCTCTCTCTCTCTCTCTCTCTCTCTCTCTCTCTCTCTCTCTCTCTCTCTCTCTCTCTCTCTCCTGAGAAACTTTTCTAAATTTGTGAGGAGGGAAAGTCTGTTTGTTGTTTTGTTGACTTATTTGTTTCTTGTGTTTGTTGTATGTTTAACTATTATTTATAAAGAGATTGTTATTATTATGTTTATAATCGTCGTTACTATAATTTGAACAATTATGATATGATTGCATTATTGTAGTTCTATTCATCTTTTAGGTATCTGCATTTTTCATATCAATTTGTCTTTTCTTTCCAAATTTATCACATGTCGTTTCTCTTTTTTGATTTTCATTTCTTCGCAATTTCAATTTTTTAATTTCATCTCCACTTCCCTTCTTCCTTCCCCTACCCCCCTCCCCTCCGTCTCACTTCCCCCTCCCATCTTCCTTCCCTTCCCCTCCCCTCCGCTTCCCCCCTCCTCCCATCTTCTTCCTTCTTTTCCCTCCCCCTCCTCCCTCCTTCCTCCCTCCCCCCCCCCTCTCCCCTCCCCTCCACTCCACCCTCCACCCCCATTCCACCAAAAATTCAATACCATTTAATTGACAATTTCCATGATTTTCCCCCATTCACTCATATTAACCCCCCCCCCCTTCTCTTTCTCCAGGCTGTCGGTCATGTCTCCGGCTGTCATATCAACCCAGCTGTGACATGCGCTATGCTTGTTGCTCGTCATGTCTCTGTCATCCGGGCACTGATCTACATCGTCTGCCAGTGCCTCGGTGCCATCGTAGGGGCTGCCATTCTAAAGGTGAGTTCTTGGCACCTCATTGTTTTTTGTTTAAATGGGGGGGAGGGGGGTAATTAGCTCTTAATTTTCTTTAAAAGGGGTTGTTTAATGATACTTTTAGATTTAAATGGTGTATGGCTTAGATTTTAATGGGTAGTCTTTAACTCTCAATAACCGATATTTAAAGTAGATGTTTAATGTTTAATTGCTTGAATTCCATTTTTTTTTTTATCTTAAACTGTTTTTTTTTATATTATGTATACTAATATATATTGAAATGATTAATTCAGTTCCTTATGGGATATATGTTATGCATTTCTTTTTTGACAAATTTGTATTCTATTTTCCCTTAAGCTGCCACTCCTGAGGTAAGTTTTGGTGGCTTACTTATATTAAATAGGTTGTAATATTATTCAGGTTGTAATATAATTCATATTTCTTGTGGATTATATTCAAAGGGTTTATTTAACATTTAATGGGGTGTGCGTTACGAAGATACAAGAGTTACAGTTTAAAAAATATATATATTTTGAAAATTATACATTATAGTTATTTGGCTTTTAATTAACCATATTTTACTGTTTTATCTTCTACTTATATCATTTTTCCTTCTACTTTCTTTCATTTTTCCTTCCTTCATCGGGTTATGCTAATAATTATCACATATATTTCCTCTTCGCCTAAGGTGTTAAATCACGTTTCTTTGACATATAATAGTTACAAAATAGACCAAAACTTGTATACTTAATCCCCAGCTTTTAATTGTGGGGAGAGAAACAGCATATTAAGATTCAGCTCAGGTATCAGTCACGCGGCGCCTCATCCAGGGAACATTAATGGACAGGTTTCATTGTTATTCATATAGGCCTACGTGGGGGGAAAGAATTTACTCTTTCATGTGTTCTGTGAGTGATATCAAGGTAGATGGAGAGTAATGGTGGTTACCGAGTTGTTGTTGTTGTTGTTGTTTTCTTTTATTGTCTGTGTGTTTTTTTTTTTTTTTTTTTTTTGCTTCATTTTCGTTTGATTTTTTTTTTTTTTTTGTCTTCTTTTCCTTCTTTTTTCTTCTTCCTGTTGTCCTCACTCTCTTCCCCCTTCTCACTTTTCTTCTTCTTCTTCTTCTCTCTCTCCCTCCTTCTTCTCTTCTCCCACTTCTCCTCCTCCCCCTTCTTATTATTCTCCCTCTCCTACTTCTCTTCTCCACTTCTCTTCCTTCTTCTTTTTGTTCTTCTCCTTCTTCTTCTTCTTTTTCTACCTCTCCTACTTCTATTCTCTTCTTATTCCACTTCTCCTCCTCATCTTCGTCATCCTTCTCCTCCTCCTTCTCCTTCTTCTTACTTTATTCCTCCTCCTTTTTTTCTTCATCTCCTTTCTCTTCTGATCCATCTTCTCTTCTCTTCTCCCCCTATTCCTTCTTTTTCTCACTCTCCTTCACCTCCTTTCCCTCTCTCTCCCTCCTCTTTTCTCTTCTTCACCCCCTCCTCTTCTTCCTCCTTCTCCTTCTTCTCTTCCTTTCCCTCCCTCTTCCTTTTTTCTTCTCGTCTTCTTCCCCTCCTCTTCCTCCTCCTCCTTCTTCTTCTTCCCCTCCTTTCCCTCCTTCTCCTTCTTCATTTCTCTTCTCCCCCTCCTCTTCCTCCTCCTTCTTCTTCACCTCTTTCCCTCTTCATTTCTCTTCTTCTCCCTCTCCTCTTCCTTCTCCCCCTCCTCCTACTTCTTCTTCACCTCCTTTCCCTCCCTCTCCTTCTTCATTTCTCTTCTCCCCCTCCTCTTCCTCCTCCTTCTTCTTCACCTCTTTCCCTCTTCATTTCTCTTCTTCTCCCTCTCCTCTTCCTTCTCCCCCTCCTCCTTCTTCTTCTTCACCTCCTTTCCGTCCCTCCCCCTCTTCTCTCCTCTTCTTCCCTCTTCTCTCTTCTTCACCCTCTCCTCTTCTTCCTCCTTCTCCTTCTTCACCTCCTTTCCCTCCCTTTCCCTCTTCTCTTCTCTTCCTCTCCCACTCCTCTTCCTCCTCCTCCTCCTTCTTCTTCTTCTTCACTTCCTTTCCCTCCCTTTCACTCTTCTCTTCTCCTCTTCCTCTTCCTCCTCCTTCTTCTTCTGCACCTCCTTTCCCTCTTCATTTCTCTTCTCCCCCTCTTCTTCTTCCTCCTCCTCCTTCTTCTTCTTCTTCACCTCCTTTCCCTCCCTTTCCCTCCCTTTGCCTCTTCATTTCTCTTCTTCTCCCCCTCCTCTTCCTCCTCCTCCTTCTTCTTCTTCCTCACCTCCTTTCTCTCCCTCTCCCTCTTCTCTCCTCTTCTCCCCTTCCTCTTCCTCCTCCTTCTTCTTCTTCACCTCCTTTCTCTCCCTCTCCCTCTTCTCTCCTCTTCGGCACGTCTGGCCAAACTCAAATGTTTATTATGCAAACGTTGATCACTCACAATGCAATACAAATTAATATTTCTCCTTCACTATACAGACTCACAATCTTTTTTATTTCTTAGTGTTTTGCCACATTCGAATCGAGCAGGAACTTATATAAGAAAATAGTAATAATGATAATAAATGCAATAAGAGAATAATAAGGAATAGGAAGAATGCAAACTGGTAACTCTCGAGCATGATAAAATGCATAGTCATCTTTCTGACAGTGTTTTGCTTACCGTCTGGATGGTGCTAAGCAACCAAAGGATAAGAGGGATGGGTAGATGAAGAAAAGGAAGAGACACAGCGAAAGAGGGAAGGAAGGAGGGAGAGAGACAAAAGGAGAGGGAGAGGGACACGGACAAAAAAAAAACAAAAAAAACACGCAAACACACACATACACACACACACACACATACACACACACACACACACACACACACACACACACACACACACACACACACACACACACACACACACACACACACACACACACATACACACGTACACACACACACACATTACCTTTTTAGGGTTAATGTCACAGTTCCAGGTACATGGCGGAAAAAATTCATACATACCACGTGACTCGTAATCATTATATGTGAGTTCATCCGACGAAAGGAGAGAGGGGGGGGGAGAGGTGAAAAAGACGAGGAGATTAAATAGGAGAAGGGATAGATAGATAGATAGAGATAGAGAGACAGATAGATAACAGTTGAATAGACAAAGATAGATAGATAGACGGATATATAGGTTGATATATAGGTTAATTTATAAATAACTAGACAGAAGAGAAAGAGAAAGTTATAGAGAGCGCACGTGTGTTCCTGCACCACGCCACGTCACCATCATCACCGTCATCACCATTATCACTATCACCTCCCTCACCATCATCTCCGTCACCATCACCATCACCATCATCATCATCATCATCACCACCACCCACCTAACCCCCCTTCCCTCTCTCCTCCCCCCAGGGCGTGACCCCGGCAGATATCCAGGGGTCCCTCGGCATGACCCTGAGGAATGAAAAGATTGACACGGCACAGGCATTGGGCATCGAGCTCCTCATCACCTTCGTCTTGGTCATCACCGTCTTCGGGGCGTGTGATGAACGCAGGAATGACGTGAAGGGATCAGCTCCTCTCGCCATCGGTCTGTCGATCACCACTTGTCATCTCTTCGCCGTGAGTATAGCTTTGGGTTTGTTGTGGGGATGACTGATGACTTTGTTGTGTGGGTGTGTTCTTTTATGTGGGGATGACTGATGACTTTGTTGTGTGGGTGTGTTCTTTTATGTGGGGATGACTGATGACTTTGTTGTGTCTGTGTGTTATTTTATGTGGGGATGACTGATGACTTTGTTGTGTGGGTGTGTTATTTTATGTGGGGATGACTGATGACTTTGTTGTGGTTGTGTTTTTGTTTTGCTGTGGGGATGACTGGTGACATTTGTGTGGGTGTGTTGTTTTATGTGGGGATAACTGATGACTTTGTGGTTGTGTTCTTGTTTTGTTGTGGGAATGACTGGTGACTGGTATGGGTGTGTTATTTTATGTGGGAATAACTGATGATATTGGTGTGGGTGCGTTCTTCTATGTGGGGATGACTGATGACTTTGTTGTGTGGGTGTGTTCTTTTATGTGGGGATGACTGATGACTTTGTTGTGTGGGTGTGTTCTTTTATGTGGGGATGACTGATGACTTTGTTGTGTGGGTGTGTTCTTTTATGTGGGGATGACTGATGACTTTGTTGTGTGGGTGTGTTCTTTTATGTGGGGATGACTGATGACTTTGTTGTGTGGGTGTGTTCTTTTATGTGGGGATGACTGATGACTTTGTTGTGTGGGTGTGTTCTTTTATGTGGGGATGACTGATGACTTTGTTGTGTGGGTGTGTTCTTTTATGTGGGGATGACTGATGACTTTGTTGTGTGGGTGTGTTCTTTTATGTGGGGATGACTGATGACTTTGTTGTGTGGGTGTGTTCTTTTATGTGGGGATGACTGATGACTTTGTTGTGTGGGTGTGTTCTTTTATGTGGGGATGACTGATGACTTTGTTGTGTGGGTGTGTTCTTTTATGTGGGGATGACTGATGACTTTGTTGTGTGGGTGTGTTCTTTTATGTGGGGATGACTGATGACTTTGTTGTGTGGGTGTGTTATTTTATGTGGGGATGACTGATGACTTTGTTGTGTGGGTGTGTTATTTTATGTGGGGATGACTGATGACTTTGTTGTGTGGGTGTGTTCTTTTATGTGGGGATGACTGATGACTTTGTTGTGTGGGTGTGTTCTTTTATGTGGGGATGACTGATGACTTTGTTGTGTGGGTGTGTTCTTTTATGTGGGGATGACTGATGACTTTGTTGTGTGGGTGTGTTATTTTATGTGGGGATGACTGATGACTTTGTGTGTGGGTGTCTGTACACGATTTTTTTTTTATATACCCATGTATCTGCATTTGCATGTATAAACCTACATGTGTTTCTCAATGCTTTCATGTACATCTGTTTTATATGCACCCCTATTACACATACATAGATGCACATCCCTGTATCGTGAGAGGATGATATTCAATATTTTTTTTATCGAGTGAAATCTAATATTATTCTCCTTTTTTTACGTTCCTTATCTATAGCTTGGTACTTTTGTAACCATACACACACTTAATCTTTTCTTCGTTGTTTTAAAGTGTATTGTTTTATTTATTATGTTGCTAATGTCATTGAAATGGGGAAGACAATTTTAAATAGTGTGATCGGAATACTGCTGATGCTCTGAATATATATTTGTGTATATAAATATATGCCATGCATACACATAAGCACATACACACACACACACACGCACGCGCAC